TTATTTAATAAACGTATATAGTTATTCTATAACTTTTACGGGACAAATTTACGATTGAAGATTTATCATACTCATTATCATTGTGCTTGTATAAAATTTGGGCGCTTGTATGATATTATGCCATATAATACCATCGGTAAAGTACTTTATGTAACGAAGCGCAAAGAACGCGTGATAAGCACTGTATGTATACGTACAAGTGTATGATTAGAGACTAAAAGGGACACGACGTTGTTGCGGGTGTCTAGAAGGGTGAGAGAACCATCGTCGGCTTGGTAGACGAACTTTTCGTGGGTTATCCAAGTCGGTGGTAACCTGTGCGGTGTCAGGTCATCACGAAGGCACTCGTCTAACGTAAGACGCCTGCCACTCCAATACAAGAGCTCGTCAACGTACCTGTAAACAAATTAAAGGAAAAGCAAATATAGAAAGCAGTACACAAGCTTTTTCAAGCATTCATAATAATTCGTAATAAACGAATCGAAACTATTATATTTTGCTCAAGTGTGTATCTCTTTTACTTTTAGCCAAGGCAGAAGTTTTGTCTTTGTTAGTTAAAAGTGATATACATGCAGAAAAAATATATTAAATTTTAATAAGTATTTGTTTGAATAGAGTATTAATTAAATATTTACTAAATGTAAACATACATTTATTTGATATAAGGGTCAAGAGTTAATTTGATTTAAGTATCGTTTTTATTAAGTAAATATTTATTTACTGTAAGTTTAGTTAGAGAGTGCTATTTAAATAAATATTCATTAAAATTTAGTAAATTTTTTTCAGTGCACGTTAATATTTTATGTTATCTGCGAAAAAAAGTTCAATCGTCTTTCTCTCTGGTATCTGATGGAATATTGTGAGGATTAGATTACTAAAAGTTAAAATAAGGAGAAAACACACGCACGCACACACACACACACACACACACACATAAAAACAGCAAGTAATGCGAACTCACCCGAGGAGATAAATTGCTGTGACAATGCCAGCGATAACGAAACCGATGACTAGTAGTGAGAAAATTATACTCCGCCAATTGTGGCCGCCGTCCGCGTACGTTAAATCCTGTGGAAGAAGACAATCTCTTACGTAATTATCGATCGATCTATGAGATCGGTCGGCAAGCTATAGTGCATAAGCGGATTGGTACAAGAGAGCATGCAGATCTCAAATCTCGAATATAGAGAGAAAGGTTTGTTGAGAGGATAATTAGGAAAATTTAATAATAATGAGAAATTGATTAACATCACTTCAAAAATTTTACATCTAGACAATAAGAACAATAAGAATTTTATTGGACCGTACATGTGAAAATATTCAGTCGGTGATTCTACAAATGATATAAAATACAACATGTGAAAATAAAAGCCCATAGTAGTCAAAGCTGGATCCTTAATGCTTAAATAATTCGATGTGAATATTTGTATCTAGAGTATCTACACATCTAGAGCACTTTCACTGTGTACATCACGAAGTCACAAATATAACGGATACATATATACATAAGAAATATTACAGGTACATATGGATGTATCACAATCATTATAAGTGTCTTAAAAATATATTGTAGAAATTACATATACTGTTTAAAAATTTCTGGGACGGAACTTTAGGAAATTATAGATCTCAATAAAAGAAACATTTCTTCTATTTAAGAACTTATATATTCTTCGGCGCGTTTTTAAGAAGCTATGCGTTCTGGTTCGAATTATGAAATATGCAACCGATCGCGCGTGACATCTGACAATAGTCTATGTTTTTGTTTTCTTTGTTGTGTCTTGTTGTGTCAAAAACAAAATCAAAGGACGTGAACTAGTAGTGCGAGCGGAGTAGCTGCTTAAAAATATGTTGAAACACAGATTTCTTAACAAAAGTTGATTCTTTTGTTGAGATTCATCCTCTGAAGTTTGTCTCTGAAATACTCTGTATATACATGTACATATATATACATATATATGTGTATGTATTATGTATACAAAGAATAAATTATCATTATTCTGTGTGTTTTTACTCGGAATAAAATCATGTGTGACTTTAATATATTAAGAAAAACCTATCGCCACATATTCTCGCGGAATTTTAATTTTATATTCGTCATTTATTAAAATGACACAATTTCGCCGCTTTTGGGAAATAAAATTTGAAAAAAAAAAAGAAATAACAGTAAATTAATTAACATAAATATTATATTCTTTTATCAAAATGAAATGATACTTTTATTATTAAAATAAATTGAACTTGATGTACAACAATAGTTTATTTATATCGAAATTAATTTGAAATGCGCAAGAAATGTAATATCTGGCGTGCATTTATTTTATAATAAATTAAATATTTCGTGGCGACGACATGTCCGTCGCGCGTGATATTTGATTCTTGACATTCGTTTTTCAAGCGACAGCTTGCCGTTGCATATAAACAAGGCCATTGTTTTGTCATTCGCATATTGTCGCATTGTCCCTCAGAATGCACGATCATTTCCTTATTACAATTAGCAATTATCAAGCGATTAATTATCTTTCGTAATTAACAATTTGTAATTGTATCGAGGCGACAGCTATTTATCGAAATATTCCGTGAATCATTTGTTTGAAGTAGAGGAATCGAAGCGATCGAGAATGGAAATTATAAATTATTGTTTTGCTTGCGATATTTACGGGCAAACAATTATTTAACGACACTATCATTTATATCTCATTGCCCTTTGAATTTTTCATTCATCTAAATATAATTTAGCCGTTGTTTTCAAATGGAAAGTACGAAATAATATACGAGCTGCTATATCGTATTACTCAAGTAACTGAAAGCCGAGAAAGCCAAGGTATTTTTGGATGATGCACCGAAAAAGAGAGAAAAATAAAATAATTTCTCGAGATTGCTGGCGTAAGCCCGCATATAGTTCTTTTTCAATATAATTTCTTTTGAGAAAATCATTCGTTCAAGATCAGACTTTCTTTACTGCTAAACTCGTTCGATCTTATCGGATTCTTCCCCTGTAATGAGAATATGTGCGACGTTCTGTCGCGAACTGTTGGGTCCTTTCCAATTGCTTAACACACCTTAACATAAACGTGTACAGAAATGCATAAAGTATAGCACTATGTACGACAATTGAAATAAATATGTAAGCTACGTATAGTTCTGGATATAGATTAAATGTATAGCTTTTTTCGTCTGTATTGAAAAAGAGCAAAAATGCTGGCCACTCAATCTTTACTATATATAATTTATATTATATATTATAGATATCATTATTATAATTATCTTTATTATATATTATTTATAATTGCCGCGATTAGTAATATATATATATATATAGTTGTCTCTAGAAAACACAAAACTTGTATAGCCAACTAGTAGCCCTCGAGCCGAATACGAATACGTAGTGCTGTGTCAACGATTAGATAATTGGAACATAACTTGTGTCGCCACGTGCACGAAAGTGTCTAGTGATTTTACAATTGAAAAGCATCCATTATTTCTCTTGCGCAATCGTTAACCAGTTAAAGAATTAACGCGCCCGTTGTTCATCCGGTTGAGATATTCCTTGTGAAAATACCAAGTCGCCCATTTGCTAGAACGAAAATTTCATTCTCGTAGATCGTAAAAGCGTTTTTGGGGTCGCGACGTTCGATCGCGCTGCCGTCAAGAATACCGCGGTTTTCGGTCGCTCTCGCATACGTCTCGAATACGTCGCCGGCTGCGTTATGCATATTGCATACGGGTTATGTCCGGCGTCTGTATAGTTGTTCTCCTGACCACCGACACCGTACCGAATAATACGTGCAGGTCATGCAATACGGATGAGTCGCACCGGATTTCGCACAAGGCGTCGTCGGCTATATGCGCGGGTCGTTATGTACCTGTTAGAACAGCCTCGCACGTGTTTCTGCACGCGAATTTGCTCTCACTTTAGGAAACCGCGAGAGAAACGATTTATCTTCAATTCTGCATTCGGTGATCAGTGAAATGTTGTCTCTGAAGAGGAACGAGAAGAGATTCGTCGACAAACACCGTGATTCACCGACTAATTAAATTACATGTTAGAAGTTAATTTTCCTAATCAATTCTTGCTGCAAACAATCACTTGATTTAAAAAAAAAATTGCCGTGCCTATGGATCGCGTGATATATTTTTTCTTTTCAGTTATATTTACGTTTGTAAAATGTATGATGCAATGAGACGGTTACAGTTATGACACAAGCGCCATAACTGCACCTTATTGCTCGCAATAACCGATAGCTTTGCGTTTCGAAAATAAACGTAAGGTAGTTGTGAGTAGCGTCTCTCTTGTTCTCTCTTTCTTTCACTTGACTGCGCGCCATTAACGATAGAAGAAATTCCGGCCTAGGATCTAGTTTAGAACGATTTATCCCCTCGAAATAATCTTCATTTTATCCCGGATATCGCCGATAATGATGCTGCTCCGAACTAGACGAACGATCGACCGCCGCGCCGATTGGCCAACGTTATGCCGCGCGGTAATCGCTTTTGGACGACCCGACCTGTTTATCCGGATAAATAATCGCCGATGTCTCGTTCAAACGATTCGCCATTTCCTTCCCCGACACCCGACTCGCTTCTTCCTTCTCTCCTGCCGATCGATTTGCCACCGCTTTGAATTCAAAACGCATCGCGTCGCGTGTACGTGTGCGGCACGAGATATATAGAGTGACCATAAATTTGCCCCGCGAAACGCGACAGCATCGGACTTCGCGAGCTGATATCTACATTGCCAAGTGTTGCACGATGCAGACATTATTTCGCGAAGATTCACGCTGCTTTATACGGCAATAACGCGAACTGTAGAGATAGAACATTCAATTTTTATCACCGGTGAGTTTCATACTTCAACTACTATTCCGCGGTGCGAAATCAGAACACTATAAATTGCACGCTGTACTTATAAATGTATTAACATTTTTTCGATTTTGTATGCGGCAAAAATATGCAATATATTTGCTACATGCAAAATTATTGCGTGCTCACGTGTAATATAATAATTGTATTCCAAGCGTGGGAGAAAGTTGAGATAGTTTTGAACGATATTAGTGCAGTGCTGGTTTCTGATTTCTTTTTTTCTTGCTGAGCATTTGCTTAGTCATCTTTGTCCTCTTCCATTTATGAAAAAATTTTATGGGAAACGACTTCTACATCGAATTAAATAATATACGATCGCGTATAATATAATGAATATTTATTGGCTTTGTTTATTCATTCTTCTCTCAGTCGATAATATTTGATAGATTGAAAAATTTTGCGATAAAAAAATTTTTAATTAAAATGAGATATTTACAAAATTGTTTTCTAAATGTCTACAAAACGGATTAAGATTTAATGAAGAAAGAACTTTGATATCAGTCAAATTTCGCTCGATATATCAAAATTTAATAGTCTTTATCTTTCTCTCTTCTGCATATTTATCTTTTTTTTTAATTTAATATATTAATTTTATATGGACGTAGTTAAAGAAAATTAATCTTTTTAAATGCGAATGTTTAATTAAAAGACCTGTTTGCTGCGGACAGTCGGCATCGTTTATGTCACGCGTTACTTTAACGGAAAAGTAGAAAGCAGTCGAGACGAGATATACCGCTTTTAAATATTCTACCATTCTGTCGCGTAAATACGCGCCTTCACATGACTCCTGTATAATGCCACTCTTGTATAATGCTAGGAATAAAGATATGTATGTATATTTGAATAAAATCTTTATTGTGTCAATTAAGTTTCAACAGAGAAAAGCTTTTAGTTATATACTGAGGGAACTTCAATATTTTCTCCAACTGTTTTAAGGTTTATTTTTTCCGCTTTAATCGCTCGTGTCTGTTTCATTGAGCCAGCTGGCAAGTGGCCAAACATAACGAGATAGTCGGTTCATTAAAATTTTTTGCAAAAGTTATCTGAACGAATATCTATCTTCACGTATATATTATTCTCGTTAAAATATAGTTTTCCGTAAAAGCATCAAACGAATTAAATTTGATCGGAACGTTAGAGAAATAAAAGACCGCTTGTTAAAGATAATAATACAATTACATTATATGCGCTATAATGTTGATTAA